CACACACACACACACACACACACCTGTATTTCTTGTAATCTGTCAACAGGAATGAAGACAGCTGGCTGTGACAGAATCTTGTTTTGGACTTTCTCTTGATCTGAAACTGTCTTCGCACTCTGTCCATCTTCTTCTGGTTTTGCTTGTTCTTCCTTCACTCCCTCTTTGTCCTCTTGAAATGGAGGGGTGGTTTCCTGAGCTTCAGCCATCTCTGTAGATTTATTCATGTCTTCATCCTCTCCTTCCACATCATCATCATCATCATCAGAGGAAGTATCCAGGTCACTGCTTTCTTCTGCCTTTTCTTCTTTGTCATCTTCCTCTTCTACTTTCCATTTTCTTTTCCTGTTCGCTCCACTGAGGCTGCTGATCTTTGGACCCGAGTCTCCGTCATTTATTTCAGCCAGTGAACTGAAAATTAAACAGACTTTAAACCACTGACTGCACTTTCACCACGTCCTCCCCCTGCTTATGTTGAATTCATACACTTACTTTTTAGACTGGTAGATTTTGTCTCCTGTTCCCAGTTTGGACGTGGTGTACAGCAGCTTAATCTCAGACTCTGGAATCTGCACCTCAGCCAGTTTGGTGAGGATGTCTGCTCTCTGGACGGGACACACAGAGGGACACATTAGCTGGCTGAGATATAGTTATTTGTATTGTTTGTATGACTAAATGTTTAACATTGTATTTCCAGTATGTATGATAATCTTTCGCAGAGTGAGTTACAGTGAATAACAGAGTAGGAATAGATTTAAGAAGAAGAAGAAAATCAATATCTTTGTTTCTCTTTCTCCCTCATTATATCATCTCTCATTTTCTCACAACTGCCTTTTAACATTGTTAAAGAAACAAGTCTCTTAAGGCCGCTCAGTTTTGTCAGAACCTGCAGAATTAAAACTGTCTCTCACCTGAGCTTTCTTCTCTTTGCGCTCCAGCACTTTCTGCAGCTCTTTCTTCTGCCTCTTGGTGAGAGGCTTTCTGGTGGAAACTGGTGTCACTGAGGATTTCTTCTTCTTGGCTTTGTTGGATGGGAGGACCAAAGCGTTGCTCTCATCTACACCTTTGAGTCTGGCTCCATCTGAGGGATAAACAGCGTAGTGAGGGCGGGACACTGACCAGAAGACACAAACAAAACCTTTTTGCAGTATGTACTATTGTGTATGTCTATAATCCCACTTAACACACTCATTTGTGAAACCTTTATTACCTTTACAGAGCAAAAAGTGTTGAATGTTCCTGTACAGCACCTTGAAACTACATCTGTGTATGAAAGGTGCTTAATAGATAAAAACTGCCTTGTCCATCTGTTTTCACAAATAAAGCTGATAAATATAATACATATATTTTTCTAAACACACAGTAAAAATCATTAGTTCAGTTTAGGTCCCACATGTTTGGACAGGTGAATGAAGTCTTACCCTGTAGTTCAACCACAACCTCATCAGTCTTGTCTTCCTCCGCTGCTTGCTGACTGTCACTCTGTTGTCTCCCCTTCCAGTTGTGCTTCTTCCTCAGTTTACCCATTTTACAATGACGTCTAGAGGTTAACAAATAAAAACAACTCGTACTTAATCACATCTAATGTTAAACTGACACCTTTTCAAACTGAACAACGAGCTAACGAGCTAAAAGCTCTGAATGTGTTTAACGTATTTCACACGCCGAAGTGAATCTTTGTGAATATTATAAAATACAAACCTTCGTTTTTTAGCAGGTCAAACAACAACTTCTCAGATTTAAACTCTCCATGTGAGGAATTTCAGCTCTGCACGAATATCACGTGTAAACATACACGCGTCCGTCAGTTAAAGGTGTCCGCCGTCGAAATGTCGTCTTGGAAAAAGGTTCCGGGCACAAACACAAATGAAGAATAAAAAAGACATGACAGATTCGTTTTATAGTTTTAAATCGTCATAATCATAACGTACTCATAATTTATGGATTATTGTGTTTCTATGTGCTGGAAATTACAATGTAGCACACGTAGAGGGAAATATCAGCCGACCAGCCAATATTTCAATTTGAATTAAATTAAAGAAAATAATTGTATTTATTTTCTGTCAAATATCTTTATTGACTGAGTCCATAATGCACACATTTTTAAAATATTACAATACAGTTTCAAATACAAATATCTAAAATTATAAGTGGGGCCAGTCTAAACATGGTACAGTCAATATAATGTGTGATTTTTATAATGAAGAAATTACACAATAGATTAATAGAACATTTCAAATTACTAAATCTGACATAACCATTTCCTAATCAGTCTTTAATTATTATTTTAGTTCCTCGCACATCCATTATTAAAGCAACTGAAAGTCTTGATTAGGAGCTTTACCTGCAGGTCAAAGAACAGAGGGTGAATGAAAAAGCCCCAAAATAGTCAAAGGCACGACTTGATGACTGGCTATATATTCAAATTTCATAGGAGCTAAAGAACATTTTTAACTGGTTAATAACAAGTCAGTTCTTAAATGTGAAATATCTATGATGATGTAGACATTTTATTACATAGTTTGTTCACTAGAGAGAAAACGGTTGAACATTTCACACTTTGAAATGTACAACTTTTAGTCACAACATTTTATTAACCAAATGTTATTCTTGATATCATTATATATGAGTCGAATATTTCACATGAAGACAGGAAACGTTTTCCCCACATGATAACACATGAAGAAAAAATAATAAGACTGAGAAAAGGAGGGGAGTTGTAAAAAAGACATTTCAACATGCTCAGATGCTGCTGTCCTTCAAAAGTGAGTACTCGTTCTCCCTCGGATCCTCCCCGGCTGTTAAGCTCTCCTCTGTGGTTCTCCTCGCCTCTTTGGACAACCTATCGAATCTCCTCAGGAACACGATGAGGGCCACGAGCAGAGCCGCCTGCACCACCACAAACACAAACAGACACACCTGGGAGGCCAAAGCCAGGTCACAGTACCAGTAGTAGCAGGACTCCAGCACCTCCTCCTCAGTTAAATACACCACCAGTCGCCCTCTCAAGCTGGGAGGGGAGCTGCAGTTGACGCCCAGGTGTGATGTGAGGTCGTTGGGCTGACGCAGCAGCCAGGCTCGCAGGTAGAGGATGCCACAGTCACACACCCAGGGGTTACCATGAAGAGACACAGAGCGGAGGGAGATCAAGTTGTCCAGGTGCCCGTTAGGGAGGGTGGTCAGCAGGTTGGTGTGGAGCTGGAGCTCTGTGGTCCAAGCAGGGAAACTGGTGGGCAGTGAGGAGGAGGTAAGAGACCTGCTGCTGCAGTTTACCAGACCACCCTGACAGGAGCAGAGGTGAGGGCACGCTGATGACCTCTGACCTTGAAACAGGAGGAGCAGACACAGGAGCAGTAGCCCCGTCATGATGAACAGTCACTGGAGGGGAGAGGAGAGGAGAGGAGAGGAAAGAAGAGGAGAGGAGAGGTGGTGAGGGGACGGGAGGGGAGGAGAATATTGTTTGCACAAACCATAAATTGTAAGAAAAGAAAAGATACAGACACTGACAACTGCCATGCAAGTGATATAAATATAGCAAAGGTCACTCCTGGATCTGCATTCTTTAAACACTGAGAAATTACATTACATCTTCATCTATCATTGGGGGGATTAATAAAACATTATCATATATATGTAATCAAGTGGTTTACAAGAGCTCTTTGGGTCTATAAGAATATAGAAATGAATGCAAAGTACTACAGCAGCAACTGCTATCTTTCTTAAAATGTTTTTAACTTGATGCCTGAGAGGTGTTGATTCAGCTCTGTAGTTTGTTGTGTGTCTGTACTTTGTGATGTTGTGGTAGGTAAGTGTTTGAGTGTTGTAGTGTAATTGACTGCACATTATTTGGGTAATTTGTCTTAAAGTAATATATTTTTATATCAACTTTCATAAAGATTTT